TTGCAGTTCCTGGTTCCAAGCATCCGTTGTCTAAGGTCTGGCAGTGAGACTCATCAGGCAACACTCAAGGGCTCGCCTAGCCTTCTAAGTGAGATTCCATGCAATCTCGAGACGGTTTAGGGTGCAGGGGCATTGGCACTAAGCCGAGTATATAAATCTGGCAGACGTGTATTTCTGGGAGATGCAGGACGTTGTTGTGCAGAACTCGTTTCCTTGCTCAGAGCTGCATACCGCTTGCCATCAAATGCCAAGGCCAAAAAGCAACCAATCATTCAATCCAACACCTTCCTACAAACCCTAAATTCTAGACCTTAAACCCTAAACCCTAAACCCTAAACCCAGGGCCCTAGACCCTAACTGCAAAAGCCCTAAACCCTAAACCGAGCACTGCTGTAAACCCAGTCTGCTAGGCAGTAGAGATCATAGCCGGCAGGCTGCGACTACCACTCGCTCTCAGGCGATCTGGCGGCTGGGTAGTTCGATTAGGGTTTAGAGCCTAGGGTCAGGGTGTAGGGTTTAGGGAGTAGGGTTACAAAAGAGTCTGGGCCAAACCCTATTCAAATTATTAAGGCCCCAGGGTCCAGTGTTTAGAATTAAGGGTTCAGGGTTCAGGGTTCAGGGGTTAGGTGAGTCATGAAGGAGGTCACTTGTCTTCGCGCCTGAAAGACCTTGAAAGGCCTTAGCCACCGAAATCGTAAACCTCCGTAAACCCTTCAGACTCCCACCTCTGGACCTTGGGAGGGGCTTTGGCCGGAATGACTGGGCTGCAGCAAGACCACTTCGATTTCACAATCACAGAGAGCGCAAAAAAACTTGCAAGACGAACTTGGGAATACAAATCTAAGGTTTGCATAATGCAAGAAACGTACGGTACGGGTTCCAGACGAGTACTAGAAACAAAAAACCGGCCCCCGAGAAAAGGCGAGTTGCCTGTTTGATTCTTTTTTTGTAAGAACACCATTGTCTGCAACCCTAAACCCTAAACCTAGTCTCTCCAGATATTGCCTTATATTGCTTTCGTATTGTAGTCTGTACAGAGTTCCGGCACCTGCCCCAGGAGTCTTCCGGGAGACAAACTATGCAAAGACACAGACAAGGAAAACATATACGGGAAAGCTACGAGAACAAATCTTATCTATATCTAAAGTGTAGTCTATCAATGCAAGAAGCCTGTGATCTGTAGGATGGGAAACATGAACATACCAGGGTCGAATTTCCCTGTTACGGAATATCTGGTATCCTGGGTCTTGTCATTCTTTATAAGGAAAGGGGTTTCTCGCAGGTCCCCAGTTTCGCCCCGTATCGTTTCGCATGTTTCAGTACGGATGTCATGCAGAGTGGGACTTCCAGGAGGACACACTTTTCCTCGAAGAGTCTCGTGTTTAGTTTTTGGGAACCGAGCAGCCATGCAAGCAAGTGGTGATTGCTTGTGTAGTTTCCATGGGTCCCTACGAAGTCGAATCATCTCGTGCTGCTTACTATGTCCGGATAGCCATCACAGTGGAACCCTCGGCCTCTGCGCTGACAGAGCAAGCTCTACTGCAGTGGTCTGACTTTTCAATATTGAGATGGTTCTTTCAGGTCTCTATGAATTTTATAGCTGAAGTCCCATGCAGCTAGTTTTCCTAGATTCTGTACTAGAGGGTACCCAAAGCCCGATTCTTATCCTTGTGTGATATACTTCAGGGGTCCAGAAAACTCCGATAAAAAAACCCTAAACCCTAAACCCTAAACCGTCCTTTCTGGAGCTCGCTGCAGGAATTCCTTTCAATGGCACACTCTTTATCATTAAGCGCGAACTCCTACACCCTAGGGTAAGCCTTGAGAAGCTCCCCCTAAACCCCTAAACTCTAGACCCTAAAACCCTGAAACCCTAAAGCCCTACACCCCTAAACCCTGAAACCCTTAAACCCTGAAATCCTAAACCCTGAAACCCTAAAGCCCTAAACCCTTAAAGCCCCAAAACCCTCCACCCCTAAGGGTAAGCCTGGGGAAGCTCCCCCTAAACCCTAAACCCCAAGCCCTAAGCCCTAAACCCAAACCCTAAACCCTAAGCCTGGGGAAGCTCGGGGCAGGTCGTCATCTCGGACCTGGCGTCCGCCGATGCGGAGAACCTTTTCGCGAAGTCTCTCGACCCCGGAATTTCCAGGGGTTTGGGGTTTAGGGGTTTCTAGGGGTTTGGCCCGGGATTTAGGGGTTTATCGGGTTTAGGGTTAAGGGTTTAGGGTTAGGGTCTAGGGGTTTGGGGCGGTTTAGGGCTTTGGGTTTTCTAGGGGTTTGGGACGGTTTAGGGCTTTGGGATTTCTAGGGGCTTGGGACGGTTTAGGGCTTTAGGGTTTCTAGGGGTTTGGGACGGTTTAGGGGTTTATAGGGCTTAGGGTCTAGAGGTTTGGGTCGGCTTAGGGGTTTCGGGTTTAGGGTTTGGGGTCTAGGGGTTTGGGTCGGTTTAGGGGTTTCTAGGGCTTTGGGTCTGGGGGTTTGGATTGGTTCAGGGCTTTAGGGGTTTAGGGGCTTTCCGGAAAGGTCGTTCGTTTTCAGGGCTCCAGATCTCTTGCCTTCCATTTTGCGAAGGGTCTTAGACTCCCTAAACCCTGAATCCTAAACCCCTTCGGTTTTGGCTGCGGGTTGTGGGCTCCTTGGCCTTCCATTAGGGTTTAGGGTTTAGGGTCTAGAGTTTAGGGTTTAGGGGTTCACGGGTTTAGGGTTTAGGGCTTTAGGGTTTAGGGTGTAGGGTTTAGGGGTTTAGGGGTTTAAGGTTCAGGGGTTTAGGAGTTGAGGGTTAGGGGTTTAGGGTTTGGGGTTTGGGGTCACGTCGCTTCTATATCCCGGTCAGGTATGACTACGAAAACATTTCGCTGCTTCCCCGGGGTGCGCTGGCGGCTGCTCACCTGGAAGGGAATGTTGGGGTCAGATGGGAGCCGAGCTTGTTGGAGTCTTGGGATACATGTTAATAGCAGTATTCATAACCATGCCGAGAATGACAATAGTAAGAAGAAGAAGGAACACAACAACGATAATGATGCTACGAGTTTAACCCTCCACCCGAAGCCATAAAACACAAGTGCTTGCTCCTTGAAGGGGCTTCTGACACCGTGAGCTCATGCAGTTGCAGAAAAGCCGTTAACACAAGACGAAGCTGCTTCACTGAGGTCTTTTGGTTTGTGCATTTCGGGTGTATCTACTCGGTAGTTTGAGGTGGAGACCATAGCCGTGGCTGCCCAGGCTTCTGGAGTTTGAGGTTCAGCTTCGCGCATTCTCCTCGTGCTGTCCGAAGTATGCCTTGTTCTAAGATGAGATGAAGGCGTCTTGGAACTTTGGGGGGTATGGGTAATCTTCAGAATGCGGAACCAGGTATTACGCCACGGACTTCTAACGACGGCCGCCCCAACCCCTACTAAGAAAACAAAAACAGTATTCCAACATCTCTAAACCGGAAGTTGCTCCAGAGCCCAGGCCCTGAAATCGTCATACCTAAAGCCCTGGAGCCTGCAGCTAGCAAGGAAGTTCTTCGCGACATTGGCCTGGAGAAGGCTGTATCTTTTTGACTGTTGGGCCTGCTTCTAGAACTCTGAGCAAAGACCCGAAACCCGAAACCCTAAAACCCTAACACCCTAAAGCCCTAAAACCCTAAACCTGAATCCTCGAACCCCAGACGTCAAGCCTCGTACTTCAACCCGGAAGCCCTATAATGTAGGCCTTAAACCCTCTTGATATCTTACAGGCGCAGCGAAAGTATGCGATGCAGTCTGAAGACTCGAACCCCTAAGGTCCAACTCTACCCTACAAAGATATACATTTTGGTGCAGGCGTGGTAGCGTTAAGTCTGATTTCTGAAAACCATTGAATCAAAACCCAAACTGAGGTCATATCGTGTGGCAGAACCAGTGGCTAAATCGGTGGCCGAGAATAGAGAAACCCAAACCGAGGTCATATCGTGTGGCAGAACTAGTGGCTAAATCGGTGGTCAAGAATCGAGAAACCCAAACCGAGGTCATATCGTGTGGCAGAACTAATGGCTAAATCGGTGGTCAAGAATAGAGGTCCCATTCAAGTCCCAATCCAAGGTGGAATCATGGGGCAAAAGTAGGGGCTACATCACGGATTAATACTTGAAATAGTATTCGAATCTCAGAATCGAGTCAACTCGTGGGGGCAACTTAGGCTGGGTTGTTTGCTATATTCCTGCTGAATATGTGATCAGAATATGATCTGGTATGCGGTATGCTTATGGACCGCGACATGAATGTCACAACTGGCCGTGATCCAGTTCTGGTGCAGAATGATTTTGACGGATTGATGTTGTCATTGTGTATCAGAGGCTCCAAGCAAGCTCTTGTCGCAAGGATCACTGGGCTAACAAGATATGTTGCCATCCAGGGGGGCTTCTGAGCGGAGATTTCATTCTGAAGATGTCCGTTTTCGGAGCCATGTACTTGCCGCGGACTGCGGCAGACCGGGAGGATGAGTCGCCCAGCAGGCAAACGGTTCGGAATACGTTGTTCGCCGCATGTGTTCGTAATCGATATCGTCGAGGCTTGTTTTTTTTCGATGTGATTGGAAGATCGAGTATGTTGTGCGCAGGTCCCGATCCAGATCGGCGAGCTCCTTGAACAGTCCGGCTCCTGCGGCCGAGCCTGCCGCAGTACAATGGGCCCAGCTCGGTGCAGGGTCTATCGGTGTAGCGCTGGATCTTTTCCGAGAGCAGATTACAGATCCTTTGGTAGCTCGGGTTGCAGCACAGCCACAGGGGACTGCTCATGCAAAGTTTGTAGCGCTCGGGCTAGGGCAAGGCCTGCAAAGGCTACAGTAGATTTCTATCAGGTGCTGACGACCGCTTGTTCCTGCAGTGGTGCCCCTACCTTTGCGTTGGCCGAGATCGTTGGCCACAACAATTTTGTTGAGATCGCCGCAGCAGAAAGGCATGTGCTTGGGCTGGGGGTTGGTTCGCAGCGCATGCTCTGGGTTTGTTTCCTTTTAATGGAATTTGGCTGGCAGCTAAGGCAGCTACCAGGCGTTGGTTGTTGCAGAACACTACTCCGGAGTCCTGCTACAACGACATTCGAGGGATGCGGCCCCGTAGCTTCAGCAGTGACGTGTTTCAGCCATGCCATGTTGCAAGTCAATTCATGACTCATGATATGTGTTGCTTTTATGTCAGGATTGGTGAACCTGGCCGGCTACCGCTTCCACCCGTGGTCCATCCTGTGCCATATCCCAAATCATTTTGAGCTTGCAGTGGAGCAGAGGGGGTTCTGTGGTCATATGGCCTAGGCCAGGCTAGGTGTCTGTGTCGCTGTATATCAGCCCTGTCACAAGGACTTCGTCAAGGAGGACCTTTATATTGTGGGATTCACATGCAAGCTGTTCTCGCAGGAGCGGCAGGGAATGAAACGCGAGGGTGGGCTGAGCTACGCAACACTGGTTTGTCGATCACACGACTTGCCTTGATAGTTTCATCTTGCGGGTAGCGGCAGGAGTCCACCATCAGATTCCAGCACGAATCCGTGGCGGCCATGTTTGACGAATATGGTCCACATGTTCTTTGGCCGATTTGTGATAATAAAAGGCTACAGGCTCCTAGGCTACAGCACACCGCTTCGCTGGATTCCCAGGCCGACAAAGTCGTTCCCTTCCTGGAGTGCAGCCGGCACATACGAAGGCGACGCCCAAGGCCCTGTCGAGATGAGTTCGGGAGTCATTGCAAGTTTACTATTTGCTTGGTATGTTAGATTATGCTAGATATGAAATGTGACATGAAGTTGTTGCCCGGAGATCAGAGAGCCGTATCTGATGTCAGTGATGTCAGCATCTCACATTTCTACTCTCTTTTGGAAGGTTCTTCATTTTGGAGAACGTGCAGGGATGTTTGAAGCAGTCCTCCAGCGTGTCCATGGACGACCCATACAAGGCCAGTATTGCCGGGCGATTGTACGATCGGTGTGAGATATTGATTGGCCTGGATTAGTGTCAGGTAGTAATTTAGTAAGTGTTAGTGTCGTTAGTGTCATCGTTTCGCTTACCATTGCTGACTGCCGCCCTGTCAAAACCTCTTTGTGACTTTGTGCCAGCAATGACGTTGTGACTTTGGCTGCAGCATGTGTCGGTGCTGAAAGTGGAGTGGCTATCGGGCTGTTATAGCCAGACGCTTTTGTGCCGCCATGTCTGTGTTTGCCTCTTTGTTTATGCCCGCGGGAAGACGGGTGGCTGATGGACTTTTACGTCGTTGCGAAACTCCGGAGACTTGACTGGTAAATCATACGGTAAATCGATCCCTAACCCAGGTTGCTATGGCTATGGCTATGTTACCACTTAAAGATTCAGGTTCACGTAACGTAAAACCTATGTAACAACTTATGTAACTTATGTAATGTAATTTCAATGTAATTATCAATTCGTGCAGGCTTCGTTTTGGAGCAAGCGGGCTGATTTCAGGGTTGTGTTGCTTTCGTCCATTCAGCTTGCCTAGGATGCTCACCAGCCACAACGAGATGCGTCAAGTTTCTCGCGTGGATCTACACACAGTGTCCGAGTGAAGCTAGGGATACAGACTCAGAAGCTGAAGCAGATCGCCTCCTTGTCCAAGACTTGTACAGACGAGAAACTGAACCTTGTCAGAACAGTTTTCGGGGAGTACCAGCATGTTGCAAGCAGAGGAGGTTTGCACGTGTCGCAGAACCTTGTGCTATACCCTGGCGATGATTCAGAGTCTGGCTTCGAGGGGTTCGATTTCGCAAGCGATGTGCATCGTGGCATGACAAGACAACAGCGCATCGGCGTCTACAGCCATGCAGTGGCAACGAAAGATTCCTTATCGGCTTTTGTGGGAGGAACACCGTGCAAACATGCGATTGTGTCTTGTCCGATGTTGCGCAGGGATTATGTGCTCAGCCATGGGCCATAGGCCATAGGCTATAGATTACTGTGGATTAGTGTCGCTTGTGCAACTTCTGCACCTACTGCAGATGGATTGCGGAAATATCGTAATATTGTCGCCGTTCTTGTTTGGTACTTTTACTTAACCTAGTTGAGAAAAAGATTAGTTTGTAGATTTTTGGGAAATGAAGCCAAAGCTGTTTCTCGTCCAGGTCACAGTCGTGTCTGACGATACAAACGTTTGGGTTAACAACCCCTCTCAGAAGCGCGAAATTGTGGAGAACGGACGCATCGCAGATTCGGTCAAAAAGAACAAGGGCATGAAGCGGGTGCAATCTCTTCTTGGTATGCTGCAGCACTTAATCTTGCGGAGGAGTGACGGGACCGGGACGGGTTCACAGGCTGTAGCCCAAATTCATGCCCCTTGTCAGCTGCTTCCGCGTGCCAACTCGTGGACGATACTGCACAGGATGCGTCGGTGGAGCTTGTACTCGTCTGTTGGATGTGCACCGCAGCTTGGTGGTGAAAGCTTGTGGAATGTCTTTGCAACTGTGCCACTTAAGCTGGTCTTGCACTGTGGCGATGCGCTTCCAGCAAACCACGTGTGCCAAGCTGCCGAACATGTTCGGTGGCATCAAAGACGGAACGAGGGCGACATCAATGCTTCAACGACGTTGCAGACGGAGTGCAATTGTCTTCATCACCAAACAGCCCTGGCACTGAAGCCTGGGCTTCTCAGTGTGGATGGCCTGTGCTCGGGAATGGTGAGGATGACCAGAGCAATGAGAGCCACCAAGTTTCAAAGTCTTTTCCAGGAGGGTCTGGATATTCTTGCGCAGTCGGTTGAAAGGCGTGTGGTGCAGCAGCTGCCTTCCGGGATTCAGCAGATTCAAGCAAAGCAGCAAGGATTGCTTGGCATTTTGGGCCATGAGCTGTCGGAAGACGAGCGGAAGCTGATCCTATCGACTTTCAACAGTTCCTGGGATGATGAAGTGGAGACCTCTGGCAAGTGGGTGCACTGGTGCAACGGTTGCTGTGGGACTCCACAGGATTGTGTGAGTCGCAGTCGTGAATGCTTGCGGTTGTTGTTTGAAAAATTTCCACAGGTGCCACTCCTGTACAGGTGGAAAGGTTGGGGGCCGTGCCAGAACTACGTCACCCGTGGTGTTTTCATCCACAACATGCTAGCTTTTCTTATTCGGCGCTGCTGTAGCAAGCACAGCCAATCTGCAGCGGACCAACAGGCTATGGACGAAGATGCCCCCGACCTACCGCTTTCTTTGCGGCAGGAGATCCGTATGACCAAAACATTGGCCTTCATGACTTCGGGAACTATCCGTGTCCTTCGATTGAACTGAACACGCTGTTTGCTAGAACATTTTTGTTGTATGAAAGCAAAATGAAACAGATGATGCAACAGTGACTCAGGCTGATCTTGGCAAAACCCTTCTGGTATACTGGCCGTTGGCGACATTGATGGATTTCATTTCATTGGTGGAGACAGCTCGTAGTCGTGCTCAATTGCGCATTCGATCCCTGGCCCTTCCTGGCAGCCAGTGCAACTACAGCGAGGAGGAGTTGCGTGACATGAACTGGTCCGTCCTTGGTGGTGCAAAGGGTGAAGAGGCTGTGAAAGATTTCTCTACCCTCCTACTTGCCTCCCCAGATGAAGACATCCTTCAAGCATGCAGGGTTTCATTTCCAGATGTACTTCCCCATGTGTTTCCAGCCATGTGCGATGCATGGCGCCGATTGGTCCTGCCGGCGAAGAAGCAAAAGACACGTCTGCTCGGTGTGGGCAGAATGGACACGAGCCACGCCAAGGAGTGCTTGATACAAATGGCCAAGATGCCGGTATGTTGCATTGGTGACCCGTTCGTGCAAGTGGAGTACTCAGTCAGCGGACAACGATCAATGCAGACGTGTGTTTAAATAAGTGAAGGTTGCGAAGTGGACTTGACGTAAGTACTTAAGCTGCTCAAGCTGTTTTATGCTGTGCTGATTTGAATGAAGCAACAACGACGTGTTTGGGTTGCTCGCTCTGCCAGGTTGCGTTGCAGATCACAGCCAACGGAGAAAATGACGCAGGCGTCAATCAGTTGCGGGATCTCCTCCAAGATGCTCTTCTCCACATGCCAGCTTCTTCCGTCAATGTCGAGAAGTTTCACGCTAACACTCAGCAGGCGGCGACGGCACATCGCGCAGGCAAGACTGCTGACAGTCTCCAAATGGACACATATGTCATGTCCACCCGTCTGGAGCATGACAGATTGAAACAAGCGGCTCAAGATGAAACCTTGGGTAAGTCCAAGCGACGCGCTGGAAAGCTTCTTTCGAGCCGTGTGGTTTCTAGAACACTACCGGGGACCACCAGAGGCAAGGTGGATGGCAGATGTAGTGGCAGACGCAGCACCCTTGCGCGACTTGGATGAGTAGTGGCCAGCTGGCTGGGGGGATATGGCCATGGCCTTTTTATTTCAATGTAGTAAATTATAAATTATAACAAAATATAAATACAGGATAAATTATAGATGAGCAGCAGAAACAGCAAGCACAACAACAAAAACAACAGCAGCAACGTTAGAGCCGAAAATGAAATGTTTCGGCTCTAACGTTGTGGCCCCACCCCACCCCACCCCACCCCACCCCACCCCACCGTCACGTAATGTAATTACAATTAAAATTAAATTCTTTAATTAAAAAAATTATGAATTATGATTCGATATTATGATATTATGACTCTGGCTTAGTTTGACGGAATGTAATGATTCGCAATCAAGTTTAGGCGGCCACTTATAAGTTATAAGTTATAAGTCATAAGGTCATAAGTCATAAGGCTCGAGGCTCCAGGGTTCAAGGCGGGTTTCAAGTTTTATGGATTCTAGGCTTCTAGGGCTGTAGGGTTTGGGCTTCGGGTTTTGGGGCACTTCAGGGTGCCACTGGCGTGGTATATATTTTAATTTGTGTGCTCCGTGTGTCCACCATTAGTTGCCTAGGTCGCTGTGTGGCAAGGCCAACTCTTGGAAGGCTGCAAAGAAGAACAGACGAGTCACAGGGTGCAACGTGTTCCAGCAGGAAATGATGCGTGGCAAGAAACTTCGTGTAGGAACACCAGAGTACAAAGCTGTGCAGAAACAGATTATGGCCGATTGGGGCGCGCTGAGCCCTATGGATCGTGCCGTCTTCGACGAGAAGGCAGCGCGACAGGATCACGAGCGTACTGTTCAGCGGAAGAAGACTCTTCACGTCATCAACGATGTCACTGATGATGCCGATGCCGAAACAGAGTCGGCGGCTGGATTGTCACGAGCTCAGCAACGTCGGCTTGGACAAGGGCAACTGAACACGTCACTTCAAGCACTGGCGTCCCACGCTGTCTGGAACAGTGGTCTGGGCATATTCAATCATGTGGCTGCTTTGCGGCCTTCGTTGGTGCAAAACGTTGATCCGGCTTCCACCCTGTTGAGCTCTTTTGGTTACTTACCAACGCCGGAGGACAATCCCAGGGTCATGCCACATATGTTTTGCAGCTGCACAGAGGCCCACCCAGGCATCTGCAAGGATGAGGCGTGTTACCCTCAGGTTGCCATCATGGTGCAGCAGTTCCAGCGGTGTTTGGAGGTGCACAACTTGCAGACCATGACCTTGTTCAAAGTACAGGCGTCTTCCAGCGGTTCCTTTGGGCCGCCTCCGATGTGGCTTCTTCTCGGTTGTGTGAGCAAGAGACCGCTGTCACATGTGTTGGGTCAGTTGGTCCAGCATGTGCATGTTGCCGATGTCGTTACACCCATGCAGCTGGAGGATTCGTGGGTCCTACACACTCTCCACGGGGTTTTCCGCAATCTGGCGAAATCAGAAAGAGTGGCTTTGGAAAGCCTTCGCATCGTGTTCAGTGTTGTTCCCTACGATGCAATCGCGAGCTACCCTGCACCCTCCCATTTCAGGGTTGGGCAAGAGCGTTTGCGCTTCGAAGTTGGCCCAGGCGTAGCTTTCGCCCCGAAGCTTGGCAGGAATGTTGAAGGATCAGTGTCCCTGCCTTTTGGCATCCGCCCCTCACAGCCTGCTCGAGGCAGAGGTAGAGGAGCGTCTGGGCGTGGTTGCGCCGGTCGCGCCAGCGGAAGAGGCCAGAAGCCTCCAGCGACCTCTGCTGAAGCCTCACTGGACCCGGACAAGTGCGCAGAGGAGGCTGCGGCTGGTGTGTTGTTTGATGACATTGGTGACGTTGGTGAAGCCTCGGCTGCCGCTTTTGTGCTGCAAACCATGAGCACGCACGATGCCAGTCCTCTGGCGCCGGAACATATGCCTGAATCTGTGGCACGCGAGATAGCTGCAACTGCGAAAGGTTTGTGCAACCAGCATCAGGATCAGCAAGATGATGCTGGCGGGGAGGAAGGTGCTGCATCCATTCGCCCGAGAGAGTCGAGTGCTGGCCCAGGTACGATTGTTGCAGAGCAACCAACTTCCACGGCCCCAGCGGGTGCTCGAGCCGGCAGCCGGTTCCATGATGTTCTTGGTTTGATGGGCTGCGCTGTCGCCAAGCGGCGCATGCAGTGCTATGTTTGTGACCAGCCGATTCACAAGGGCGATTTTCGGCTGGAACATGCGTTCAATCATCGTAGACCGCAGCGCTCTGTCCACCCGGAATGCGTAGGACAGATAGCTTCCGACACTGTGCAGCAGTCCATTACTTGGTTGGGCGGCCAGCTGGATCTGGTTGCGTCTGATGACACGAGCGACAAGGCAGCTGCTCTGAGGGAAGCTATGCGGAGGTTGACTGCTAGCCAGAGCTCGTCTGGGTGACTTTGATTTGGTGATTAGAACTCAATGAGGAAAGTTGTAGTTGTAGTCAAGTTGTAGTTGTAGTATGTTGTAGTCTGTAGTCAAGAGTCCTAGTTCAGCTCTGGTTCTGGCCGTTGCACAATTTACTTTATACAGTCTAGATTCTAGATTTCACCGAGTGAATTCATCTAACCAAAGCACTCGAAACCAGTGCTTTGCAGAGACTTACTTCTGAGTCTCCCGCGCATGGCAGTGCAATGCCTTGCAAACGAAGGATGCATCCCTTCGGCTTCATCATGTTCTTTGCAAGACGACGCAATCTATAGTCTTACGTCTTGCCATGTAGTTGCCAGATCGTCTAGGCTAGCCCTCGGTCTTACTTGGCACAGCAGTCCAGTCAAGTTAGCTTAGCCTAGCCAGCCCAACAGCATGCTTAGCCGTATCATGCCGCACTCCAGCCCTGCAGATTAGTCCTATGCCATCCGAGGGCCCCAGTCCTAGGCCCAGTGCATGTAGTAGTGTCGATAGCTTGGTTTCTTTTTGCCGATGTTATGCTGGGAGAAGCAAAGAGACCGAGCGAATCTGCAAGTGCAGTCGCACGCACTCCGGTTGCACCTACTGTGAGCATCATTGAACTCGTCGTATGTTGGAGGCTCCAATAGATTTTCTTCTCCGTGGAGTTCTGGCCAGTGGCGAGGAAGTGGGACTTAGTAGCATTCCTGGCTACTGCTTGCGAGTCCTGTTGCTCAGGCAATCTGGCTGCATGTCCTTGTAGTTTGCTTATGCTATGCAGTGTCCAACACCATGTGGTATCAGAAACGTGTGTGCTGAGCCTGAGTGTTGGTGGTCAGTGACTGAGGTCGTCCATGTATGGAGTGCCGCTCAGTCGTGCAAGACTGTTTTTTTTTGGCACAGAGAGTTATGACTATGTTCAAGACCGCGCGACCGAGAACACGGAAGCAACCATGGACAGCTGGGGATTGGCAGTGACATGACGTTTCAACTTGTGTGTTGTAGCTTCGCACTCGAATAAAAATCTTTGTGCCGTGGCAGGACATGATCGCTCACGTGTTGACTACTTTGCTGCAAGACCCGTACCTGACGCGGCCCCCAAATGTCTCTACGTTTATGGACTGGCTGGCAGAGGTGAACACGGACTATCCCAGCCAGGATTAAGCAAATTGCCGATGCTTCATGTTTGCGCTTGCTTTATACACAGTTGCAGAACTGTTGCAGAAGAGGGAGTGCAGTGCAAGTGCTAAGTGCGAAGTGCAGTGTTCATACTCGCTGAATAAAAGTACGTATCTGTTAAGCAAGTTAGTTAGTGTTTATGTATACTGTATACTGTATATCTGTATACTGTATATTTGTTTGTATTTTATATATTATATAATATTTGTACATTATTCGTCCCCCTTGCTGCAGTAATCAGTCTGAACATAATTTTAATATTGTATGTTTCAAAGGTTGTATGTCGCCGCGTATGTAAGTGATCGGATCAATGAGCAGCAGTAGTAGATAAAGTAATGAACTAGCGGTTTAGGGGTTTGGCGCTTAGGGTCTTAGGGCTTAGGGGTTGAGGGTGTAGAGTTAAGTTAGTGATTAGCTAATCAGTGATAGTCTGTGATCAGTGATAATCCAAGCTAAGATAACAACTTCAAGTGATAGTGGTGTTCAGGTTCGCGGAATTTAGCATTTTGCACAATCCCCCAAGCATCCCCAGGAAAAGCAGGTGCGCGCACGCGCGCGCGCATGCGGTACACAAGCATCATGGGCACCGGTCGTGTTTCTTTTCTTGTGCTTTGTGGCCATTGGCCCATCCCACCCACCCCCCCACCCCCCCACTGAAACTGCGACAACTGGCAGCAGCAGGAGCAGCAGAAACAGCAAGCACAACAACAAAAACAACAGCAGCAACGTTAGAGCCGAAAATGAAATGTTTCGGCTCTAACGTTGTGGCCCCACCCCACCCCACACCACCCCACCCCACCCCACACCACAC